TTTCTTTCTTTCTTTCTTTCTTTCTTTCTTTCTTTCTTTCTTTCTTTCTTTCTTTCTTTCCTTCCTTCCTTCCTTCCTTCCTTCCTTCTTTCTTTCTTTCTTTCTTTTTTTCTCTCTCTCTCTCTCTCCCTCCCTCCCTCCCTCCCTCCCTCCCTCCTTCCCTCCCTCTCTCTCTTTGTATTTTGAGATGGAGGTTTCTCTGTGTAGCCCTGGCTGTCCTGGAACTCACTACATAGCCCAGGCTGGCCTCCAATTCACAGAGATCCACCTGCCTCTGCCTCCCGAGTGCTGGGATTAAAGGCGCGCGTCACTATCACCCAGCATGAGCCCATGTTTCTTAATGACTGCAGAAATAACGTGCTTTGGGTAGGGCAGTGGTGATGTACACCTGGATCTCTGAGTTCAAGGCAAGCTTCACGTGAGTTCCAGGACAGCCAGTACTACCCAGAGAATCCCTGTCTGGAAGCAACAACAACAACAACAACAAAATTGTTTGGGGATTTATCTTCACAGAAAGGCAGCTGCGGACAGGAAGTCTGTCTAAGAATGGCGAGCGACTTCCTGTATCCAGAGACTACCCTTGTAACCCCGTGCAGTGTGGCTTGCTGCGCGATGGCTTTCCCCATGGTCTGTCCCTCTCTGCAGCAGCTGGCTATCTTTCCCGGTGATGGACAGCTGTGGAAGTTGCTGGGAGTCCTGACCCGAGGAATTTGCAGCCAGGCAAAGGTCTTTCGTCTCAGCAATAGGAGGCAAGAGTGGAAGAAACAGTACCATCAAGTCAGAGGCGTGGGAGAGCTCTCCAGCAGGTGTGTAGGGCAGTCAAAGCACAGGCGTCTCTGAAGTCTACACAAAGAGGGCACTGCTCTGGCCAAGTCACTAGAGGCCACGGATCCCTCGGCTCAGACTCCGGGCACCTGGACATGTGCTGGAAAGGGTCAAAGGTAACAGTAGAGGGACTCTTATTTCAGGCCCCAGGAAGCACGAGCCTGTTTGTCTTCCTGTTTGTCCTCTCAGTGGGAGGGCAGGAGAGGAAGGAAGAGTGAACCAGAGAGGAAAATCCCTGTGGTTCTCTTCCTAGGAGGCATCCAGAGCACCTGTTGTGTTGAATACGGAGGAGTGAGTCCCCTTTGTGAAATTACTCTGTGAGAGGGATATGAGATTAAAGAACTAATTATGCTCCGAAGACCCTGGAGCTTAAGGGTGGGAGAGGCTCCCAGAAAGCTGGGCAACCGAGCAGGTGGGAGCTGAGGGGGGAGACTGAGAGGGAGACGGGGGGGGGGGGGGGGGGGAGGGAGATGAGGAAGTAGAGGACCCCTGGCCAAATGCTTTTGTGGGAAGTTGGAGGGGGGACTCCACGGATCCTGAGGCTTGAGGGATCTTCGCTGATACTTTTGGATGCCACTAGATTAGATCAGTCAGGAGAAAGTCAGGGACGCCCGTGGCAGGGACAGAAGGGACGGAAGGACATTATCACATTGGGGCCCCTGTGTGCGGCAAGTCTGAATGAGGTTCTCACAGCCTATTTGTGGGACTGTGTGAGGCATCAGGAAAATAGGAAGTTTCCAAACTTAGAAGCTCTGTGTGCTGCCTCAACTGAAGGTAGAATTCTTCAGGCTTCACCTGGGCTGGCCGGCAGGTACGGCAGGAGATGAAGCGGGGAACTGTGGGTGAGGGAAGGCTGGAATACCTGCAAAGCAGTTACCCTCTGCCCAGTTATCACGAAAATGCCGAGCTGCCTAGCAATTTTCAAATGCTGCAACCGAGACAGCTCCCTGCTAGAGCTGGAGGTCTAGCCAATCGTTCCCTGTGTGGTTTTAGAAGAACCTTCAAAGTGAGAGAAAGTTGGGCCAAGGAGGTGGGACACGGGACACGGATTATCTTGGAGAACAAAGGAAGTATCAGGTCCCGGGAGCTTCCTTCCTCCTTGAATAATCCGGGGATGAGGGGGAGTAGGCCGAGGAAAGAATGTCTTTCTTTCCTGAACTGAACTTTCTGTTTGTTTGTTAGTGGTGACTGGGACTGAACCAGACACCCCTCAAATGGCATCACACTAAAAGCGCACTTGCTGGCTCCACCCCCAGCCCTTCTATGAACCTTAGAGATTCACTCCCGGCCACACGCTTATTGTCTTCTGGGAAAGACCAGCCCTGCCCTAGACTCCAACAGCCTTTGTTTCTCTCTCTCTCTCCTGTAAGTCCCTGGGTGCTTATGTGAATTGAAAGTACTGCTAATCCCCCATTCGTCTTTATTAAAGCTTAAATTGTATAATTGTGTTTAGAAAGCATCTCTGGGAAGCCAGGGCGGGTCTGGAGAAAGGGTCACTATGGAGACTGTAGTTGAAATAGCACTCAGGGATAGGTTCCCTGGAGTGACTGATTTTACTATTACCTCGGAGCAGGTGACCTGGACAGCGCCCGGCAGCTGCACTGACTGTAGTCAAATTCATCTGGATGACTAATGTGTATGCCGCTCTTCTTAGGTGCCAGGCACCTGCTAATCACTCATCTTTGAGAAACACTACATGGCTATCCCGGCCAAGGGGTGGTTGAAGAATCGCTCATCTCGGATATTTTTCTTTTATGTTTTAAATTACATTTTAGTGTATTTGTTTTGTATGTGTGTGTGGGGGGGGGGGCATGAATTTGCCAGGATAGGCATGTGGGGATCCGAGGACAGCTTCAGTCAGTTCTTTTCTTTCCCTGTGTGGGTCCTGGGGACCAAACTCCAGTCTTATGTCAGGCTTGGTGACATATGCCCTCACCCGCCTTCACCTGCTAAGCCATAACAGTGTTGGCTCTCAGATAGTTTTCAATATTGCTCAAATGGCAGAATTTTAAACAAACATACTAGAGGTGAATGTGTAAGACCAGCTCATCCCTCATTTCTCAGTGTAAGATATTGCCAGATCCAAAGGCCACTGGAAAATACTTGGCTTCTGCATACCAAGAGAGTATTCTGAGCTTCCTACCCCAGGAAAAGGACAATGAACGTTCAGGCTCCTTCAGTGACATCTTAAGTTATTTTTGCAGTGCTGGGGTTTGAACTCAGGGTCCCCACACTCATAACTTTTTTTTTTTCATCTGAAACAGGATCTCAAGTAGTTCAGGCTGACTTCGAACTTGCTGTAGCTGAGGATGGCTTAAACTTCTGGTCCTTAGGCCTCTGCCTCCCAAGTGCTGGGGTTATAGCCTGCAGAACCGTCCTCTGTTTGTGTAGCGCTGGGAAACAAAGCTTGCACTTTGTGCATAGCAAACACTCTGCCACCTGAGTTACCTCCCCAGCTCATAAAAACACCTTGATCTCAGATGCAGCTTGTCCCTCATTTTCCCTAGTCTATAACTAAGGCACATTCAGATGCCTTTATCTGGGCCTCACATTTCAAGATTGCGGCTCCACTGTCCCAAGTCCTCAGGACTTCTGGGTTTGTTCTGAGATATTTCACTGAATTATTCTCTTCTCCTGCCTTGTCTCATATTGCTTTTTTTTTTTAAAGCTTCTACTAATACACGCACACACACACACACACACACACACACACACACACACACACACTCGTTCTTCACTTTTCAGGGCTAGCTGGAGTTCAGCCCAATTTTCGATGGATGGTGGTTTGGATTCAGCACTAGAGCTGCCCGTTCTTTTCCACTGCGATGGGCGTGCGCCACAGTGCATGGGTCCAGTTCTCACCAACTTGTGAACACTAGCTCTGTACACAGCATCCCAGTTCCGTATCCGGTGATCTCACATGGGTGCCCTGGACTCGGCCACAAGGAGAACATTAACAGTGCAGAAGCTGGCTACAAACAGCTTCAGATCAGTGGGTTAGGGAAGACGTATGGGGGAACAGGACTTAGAGATATTACCAGCATGCCCCTGAGCCTGGACCTCACTGTACGTACCTAGGGGATTTTCCAAGGGGTGATTCTACCACTTGGGAAGAAACTCAGAGGTGACAGCACCAGATTGTTAGCAGCGGTTGATTTAATGTCTTCACGTGGATGGTCACAGGCACCCAAGGCAATAAAGCTAAAGGTGTCTCGGCGTTCCTCCACTCCAGACGGTGGCACTGAAGTCACCTGGAATCACCTTGTTCTCACAATCTCTCCCATCATTCCTGCCGCCTAGCCAAACCCGCCCTTGAGTCCTGCTGACCGACCATGCCTCCTCACCTGTGACTTAGGTGATACAGAGGCCCGCGCCAGCACTTCGTCCTTAATCTCATGCTGACGGCCACAGTCTCCCAACCTTCTAAGAAATCTCTCCTGCTGAATGTCCTCTCTTCCAGTCCATCCTCCTGCCGTAGAGATCTTTATAGACACAATCTGTTCATAACACTTCTGGCCCTGGGTCCTTCACTGTCCCACCTCACGTTATATAGAATAGGCCCATCACCGTGTCTCACAAAGCTATTTCCATCAGCTGAGGTCTGCACATTGACCCCAGAGACAACCCCTGGGACTTTCCGTCCCTCATCCTACAGTTCGGGTACACTAAGCTCAGCTCACAATACCCAGAATAGACTAGGCTCCTGCTGGTATCCAACCTCTTTCCTGGGACCCTTGTATCTAGCCTCTCTCCGAGGGTCAAGCTGATTCTTACCTGCCACTGCATCTCAGCTCAATGACCTTCTGTAAGGAGACTTCCTCTAACAGCCCCTTTGACAGCAGCCTGGACAACTGTATACTGAGAACAGCATGTAAAGACCATGCTGTCCCAGAATGCTCTGTGCACTGAGCTTGAGAATCTTATCTGTGGCGTGTGTACGACCTTCAGGGCTTACAGTCAATCACTGGATTACATGCTTTTCCTCTGCTCCAAACTCCTATTTTATTTTAAGAAAGGTCCTGTATAGCCCAAGTTGGCCTCAAAATCCCCTTGGAGTGCTATCTCGGCTGCAGAAGGACAACAAAGTCCTTTACAATTGACTCTGAGGAGTTCAGAGTTTAGATTTAGTAGCAGGTAGATACAGGGGTACTTTTTGGAGATTGCTGGCATTGAGACACAGTCTTGAGTTCCAATAAACTAAGACCACATGAGCCATGTATAGGTCAGTTCTTTCTAATACTTTAGAGCCATGGACAAAGCTTCCATTCTCCCTAGGAGTCCGTGCAATTAGGTTTAAAACTCAGAGCTGGGCCACGGATGCGGTTTTATGGTCGAGCACATGCTTAGCATGCATGAAGTGTGAGATCCCATTCTGGGCAGTACAAAATCAAAATAAAACTCAGGGCTTCTCCAAGACTGGGTGATAGGGATGGGGATGACTTCCTGTGTGTGGGACAGATGCATGATACATTTGGGATATTACTGTTACAGTTAGAAATGGTCACATCAGAGACCTGATTTATTTTAAAGGATCAAACCCAGATTAAAATGAGAGTGGATCCGGTGCAGCCAGAGTGCAGTTGAGCCAAGGAAACAATACTGTGCTTCCTACAACAGTGACCAGAGAGAGGTAGGACTGGATTAAGGTAGGATTGCTAGACCCAACCACTTTCCTCTTCAATGCCGCTCGCCATCTGCCACCTCACAACGCCCACACTTGGTAGTTAAAACAATTTCCAATTGCGATCCCCTAAAATAAAGCTTAATATATTCACATCTGGCGGTTTTCCTGCCCTGGTTTATGCTTAGCGTTGGCCTTCATTTTAGCAAACTATTCTGTGATTGCTTTGTGTTGCTTTGGAAGTGTTTCTGGATGGGGATTTGAGGCTCTGTTTGATTGCATTGTGATTGCGTTTGCGAGTGACAGCAGCGAGGAAATCTGAAGTCTGTTTTTATCTTGTGTCTGTGTGGGTACCAGTCCTGGCTGCAGATCAAGAATCAGCTGAGCAAGCTCTTAAAGTACAGACTTCTGAGCCCTGCCCCAGACCTAGGGAACAGAAAATCCAGGAAGGAGTAGGACATTTAGTTGAAGGATCACCCCAGGAGGTCAGCACACTGGCCTAGGCTGCTTGTGGACTAGCTGGCAGGCTGAGCAAGGAGGATCTTTGCAGCCCGGGAGTTCAAGATCAGTCTGTTATTTGTACCACATTTTCTTTATCCATTCTTCAGTTGAGGAGCATCTTGGTTGTTTCCAGGTTCTGGCTATTACGAATGATGCTGCTATGAACATAGTTGAGCAAGTGTCCTTGTGGTGTGGTTGAGCATCCTTTGGGTACATGCCCAGGAGTGGTATCACTGGGTCTTGAGGTAGGTTGATTCCCAATTTTCTGAGAAACAGCCATACTGATT